ACAAAGTCAGATGCAAAGTGAGACTTTCTCCAGCAGCATTCAGCACTTCTGGAACATTTTTGGAGGTAACGGGTCAGCTTGGTGTGCCAGGGTTGTAGTTGGGGGCGCTTGCTGCGTTTAACTGTAGGAGGTGCCATGATGTCAAGTTGAGAGGAGAGGGTGGAGTTGTAGAGTGAGGTTGTAGAGTTAGGGCAGTTGAGATTTGAGATGGGTAAAATTAGTGTTTGGAGTTTGGTGGAGAAGTGCTGGAGATCGAGGGAGTTGAGGTTTCTGCAAGGTTGGAGAGTTGATGGTGGTGAAATTTTGGTATGGGGTATGCAGATGTTAAATGTTAGCAGATGGTGGTCAGACAAAGGAAATGGAACAGTGGCGGTACAGAGATTGGTGAAGATGAGGTTGTGGCAGAACCCGCCTCGCCAATGGACATTGGAGAGGCCTGGCTGCCCGCCTCCTACCTGCTGACTATGGCCCCTGGTAAATTTGTACTTTTAATGCAATATTTGGGCATGTGATATTGTATATTGCTGCTACTGGCCCTTTAAGGGCCATCCAGGGACATATTATGACTTTTAGGAACAATACCCCTTTAAGACTTGGTAGCAGATTACAGTAAGGATGTCTTTTATATTATGTATGTTTCTGTGTGGCCGCCATTCGAGAAACGAACACGTGGCGGCGGCCATCTTAAACTCCCGAACAGCTGTGTTTTGCCGTCGAGTGTCTGGAACTAAAATCGGACACTCGACTAGGCAAACACCGCTGAGACCTCCAGACTTCCATGAATTCGTGTGGAAGCTACCGAATGACCCGCTGTTCGGTAGAAAGAACCCCACGAACAAGCGAATTCGTCTAAACCCTCCCCAGGCTCTATAACCCAGGCAATTCGTGTGTTTTCATTCCCTTTTCTGTGACCGACTGCAGGGCCAAAATACATGGAACTATTTTCGGATACTTTTGCCATGCAGTCGGTCAAAACTTTAACCATCCATAACTCCCGAACCCCTTGTCCGATCTGGGTGATTTTTGGATATGTGTCTCACCCAGATCAGGGCTACCAGGGGATGTAGCATTTAAAGGGGTAACCCTATGTTTAGGGGTACATCCAGTAACCCAGGGAATTAGTGTCTGTACTAATGGGATTATGTGTCACACTAAGGGGAGGAGATGTGTGGGAGGTAACTGGTACATTATTGGCTGGGGTACTAATTGTTTTGGATCCCTCCCTTGCATGGGAGAATGTCTTAAAAGGAGGTTGTGTGAATAAACCTACAGTTCCTGCTTAACCCTCAAAGTGAAGTGTCGTCTCATTATTGGGGGAGGATTTATTGTATGCTGTTCCAGTTTGACTGATAGGAGTCTAAACCCATCCGTATGGTTTTAGCCTATTCAGCTGTTTATAGCATTCATATGCTTGAGAGAAGGTATACGCTTCTCCGTTTCGGTGATTGTGGTGTCTCCCAGAGTGCTTGGAGTCCTCAGGAAACGCTAGGAGCATCCTTTAACGGAGGTACCCAGTCGGGGTGCCAGGTGATCCGTTACAGAGGTCAAGAGTGTTTCCTGCAGTGTGAGTTGCTGAAATCTGTGTGAGTCCAAAGGAGGAGGTTACAGAGAGCAGACGAGAAGCATCAGTGCAGTTGAGCTTGTTGATAGGGATATTGAAGTCCCCAAGTATGAGAGAGGGAGTGCTAGAGGAAAGAAAGTGGGGTAACCAGGAGGAAAAATGTTCAATAAATAGTTTAGGGTGACTGGGGGGGCGATAGATGATGGCAATTCTTAAAGGAGTGGGCTTACAAAGGCGTACATTCATTCAAACATACATCCTATCATAGGCAACTTAATTTATCTTCTTATCTCTGGTGTTTCGGGGCAGAGTGTTCTTCAACTATTATATTTTTGGAGATTTCTGGAATATCAGATGTTATATATATATAATTTAAACAGGGAGTAAAATTTCAAATTTAATTTATGATCACAGACAATTTTGACCATATCTTGTCGTATAATACCCTTGTCAACACCTCTCTATTATAAAAGTATTTCTCAGAGGATGCCTGAAATTTAATTTGTGTTTTTACCTCAAGCCATGATGAAACGGTTGGTATTCTCCAATATCTTGCTAGACATATCTTAAAGGCAATAGTATATTTATTATGAGAAATATGGTATATTTATCTGTAGCTGGGAAGTCTAAATGAAAGAGAGAAGTCTGAGGCATTATTATATAGGGACAGTCCAGTATATCTGCAATAAGTTCTGATGTTTTATTTTTACATATGTCTAGGTATGAGCACTCCCACCAAATATGGAATTGTGTTCCCATCATTTGTTGACATCTCCAGCATAAATCAGTGGAATTTGTTTGAAATTTAGCTGTACGAGTAGGAACCAAATACAATCTGTGAGCCATCTTATAAAACTGTTTGTTATGGTTAATACAGTGAACTGCTTCTATTCCAGGCCTGATGCCAGGTCTGGATTGAAAATGATACGTTTAGATCAATTTCCAATTTTTGGAAAGCTTTAGGTTTATTAATTATTTTTGAATTTGCAAGAATATTTGAAATTTCTTTAACTAAATTTTTTGGCGATAATATATCGAAAATATCATACCATATATTAGAATCAGATATAGGATTTACTATAAAGAAATGTTTGATCCTGATATAACTAAATAATTATTTTAAAGGTAATTTAAAGATACTCACAATATCGAGAAATAGCATCATTTGGTCAAGATTAAATAGATCTCCCATCCTATCAATGCCTACTGATTTGCATGATATTAAATTTAAATCTGTGATATAAATGGATAGAAGGTCGATAGGAGTGTGCTTAGTAAAGATGTTATTGCAATTATATCTCTTCCTAATTGAATGTGCTGATGTCACAATACTTTTAACTGGCAGAACTTCTTAATTCTTATTTTCAGAATCTGAGGCAGTTTTTCAGGATTTACGTTCCTGGGCTTTATCCTACACTGCATCTGTAGATATTTTATTTAAAGGGTTATTTCAAGCACCATGACCAATTCATTGATTTGAAGTGGTCATGATGCCTGGAGTCTGGCAGCAGAGGGGTTAAACTCTGTATGTACAGTATTTCACTGGAAAATTCTACAGAGGTATAACTCCACTTTGAGCCACACTATACAAGAGTTCTGGGTGGCCAATGGGAATCCTTTGCCAATATGGTGTCTGACCTCAGCACGCACATCATACTGGCAGAAGATAGCCATTCAACCCTTCTCCATGCCAACAATGTCCTCCTATCAACGTGCATCCCCTGACCTATCCCCTCATCAGCAAGGGGGAGTGAAGTCGATCTTGGGGGATCGGGCTGTCAGGAGAACTGCCTCAGCACTGGATTACGTGTGTTTTACCTTTTAGCTTTTTTTTCTTTTTCTTGTTTTAAGGGAGCTTACCAGCACAGCAAGGGTTACTCTAACCAAAAGCAATGATTTATGTTTTTTTTGGATTGAGTAACCCTTTAACTACAAACATTACTGATAATCTCTCTTTAATGTCAAGTCCCTTTAGTCTTCTTGAAATATGTTTGGAATGTTAAACAGCCATTTGTGAGTTTAAGGAATTCTTAAGAAAGTGAAGCAAGAAGGCAAACTTGGACTCACGGCTGACATCCAGAAAAAAAACCAAGGCAATTAGTTTTGAGAGAATTACTGAATGGCCATCCAACCAATTTCTAAACAGTGGATACGTTTAAAAAATGAACTTACTTGCCCTTGTCTCTGCTCTCTGCAAATGACCTTTTCAATACATTCTACTATCTCTCCCACCTGCCACTCCAGGAAAAGATTAAATTGTCCTATATACCCGTCATCTCCAAAAACATACATGGTGGAACTACCTGTAGATGAACTTCCAACTATCACTGAATTTTTGCACATAGTGTAATAAAAAACGAATGCGTGCGATGCTTTCACAGACTGTTGCCTGCCTAAGGGTCAGCTGCCTCTTTTGCCCCACTGCCGCATTGAAGAAGGCCATTTTATTTAACATTATTGTTTAAAGGGGCCCACTTCATCGGGCAAGCTGACACCCTGGCCAGTTCGTCACTGTCCCACTGTCCTGAGGTATATTGCTCAATGTTTGGTAGCCTTGTCCCCTCAATCACCCTCCTTGCAAAGCTCTTCTACAAAATCCCACCTATATCCCTATGTTTATTTTCAAGTTCCTGACAATGCACCCGGTTGCCTATAGTCTTTCAACTGAGGTTTGTTATGAATCCCCAAAGTCTCTTGTGAGGGAGTGACTGAGAAGTGGAAAAAATGTGAACTATGGGAAACAACAAATCCTTTTAGTTTTGGAGCAATAACATTTAAATGCTACATTTTATAAATAGTAGGACTGACCTGTAGACAGTAGGGTGGGGCAGTTTACTCTATATCCTCCATGTTGAAACCTCTCACATTTCTTGCAGTAATTGAGGCTGATGCAGACCTCCCTGTGCACATTTCTTGCATCCCATTGTTCCCCCATCCTCTCCTACTCCCCCCTCCCCGTTGCCTTTTTACTTCTTCTCTTTCTTCTTACTCCCTCTGTCATATCTTACACCAATATGGTTCTGTAAGTTATTAAAAGGAAAAAAGAAAGTAAAGCCAAATAACTGAATAACTCTATACTACTAAACTGCTACTTCGCTGATTTGTGATCTACTGTTCCCCCGAGTGAAGAGTTAAATATAACTGATATCAGCTCTGTGGGAAAGGCTTTGATCCCATTTTGCTGGTCTGATACTGTGCTATATGCAATTATGATATAATAAACAGTTTATTCCCATTTATTAAAATTTGGAGAGTTTTTATGTGGCTAGTACTTATATCCTTTAAAAATAAAATTAAGCATTTAGTTCAAAGAAATAAGGCACTGCCATTTAGTCCTTTTAGTGCCAGTGGGGTAACGACTGCCAATATCTTTGTGATTTATATGGCGTAAAAATGGTCAAATCATTTAGCACTGCAACTTTTAAAGCCGCATTTTCTTACCTTTGTCCCCCACCTCAGACTTCACCCACTCCACAGCATGTTTGATGCTGTCACTGTTGGTAACATCCAGTAAAATACATTTTAGCCCCACAGGGCAAGCTTTCAATAGTTCGTCTGCTCCTGTTTGAGTGAGGCATCCTGCCAAGACCTGGAAGCCCTTCCTGCTCAGACGTTTGGCCAGCAAATTTCCGAAGCCAGTGTCACAGCCTGTGATGAAGACATGTTTGTCTGAAAATCTTGATATGGTCTGTCTGTCCCTTAGGAACCAAACAATTGCCCAAATCATGGCAAAGAGAAATACGTAGCACCACATGGATGGAGAGCTTCTGTAATCCTATAACGCAGGAACAGGAAGGTAAAACAATTAGTAGGTAATCTTTAAAGTGATATAAGTTAAACCTATACCTTAAGTGGAGCGCTTAATATAAAATATATCTGTGTATGTTGTAACTTACCCCATGTTATCTTGTTAAAATGTTAAACTTGTGGTACATATAAAAGATACAATTAAACACAATATAGTGTAGATGGTACTGTATTTCAAAATAAACTGAATAAATTCTTGAGAGGTAGGATCACTTACATTTAAAGGAGCCTAAATATGTACATTGGCTCCGTAACTGGAATTTTATGCCTGTAGGGCAGCATCACACCTCTTGTCCACTTTAAAGTTAACTCAGAGAAAAATAAAAGGAAGAAAGGGAACCAATGTGTAGACTGTCAGTAAGGACAGGTTAAATATGTACAGTGTTCACCATTTTCAGAGCCTTAAAGTCCTGGGCCTGAGGAATCATAGTATTGTGCCAATTTAGTGAGGATGGCACTGCCCCTATGAAGATTCTGAAAGCTCCAATGGACTTTAAAATATTAATAAAAATTTATTGTACAATTAAATTTAAGACATATAGTATAATCATAAATAACACAATATAAAGTAAATTATAAAAGTCCTGATTATTGCCAAAACGCGTTTCACTCTTGAAGAGCTTCTTTAGTCAAGTATAAACATATTACTTATGTTTATGCTATATGTTTTAAATTTAATAGTACAATAAATTTTATTAATATTTTAAAGTCCATTGGAGATATTTGCTTCTGGCAGGCCTCCCAACTGTCCTGATTTCTGCTTAATTGACAGGCAGTCTGATGTGCATTCATCTCAGGCTGAGCTGCCAGTAATTCGGGTGGATCCACTACTTTATTAGTGGAAGAATACCCTATATGTGGAGCTGCTCCCTTTACTCCCTTCCCACATATGTCTCTTGGAACTCTGATGTTGGGAGATATGTTTTAGTCAAGCAACTTTTTTGCCTATAAACCAATGCTGCCCATGCACAGATCTCTGCAGAAGTGGTCTCTGCCAGCAATTGCCTATTGCGGCACACTGGAACCAAGGGTTGGATATGCATGGAACAAAAGACGGAATCTGCTCCAAGGCCACTAGAATTGGAGGGTTGGCATGGTGATTGCGGGCTGCAAGCTTTCACCAGTCAGCTAAAAATTAAAATAGCGGAAGGTGAATTGGCATGTATGTTTGCACGAGGCGTAAGGCAACAGATGCCAGTTGTCAATGGTAACTAAGACAATTGGAAGCAGAGTCTGTGTATATTAGGTGTGTACAGACTGAAGTCTGTGAATGTTCCTTCACACTGTGCAAGTGATATTGATGAAGGTTGCAGGAACGTTTGGTTATAGACCTTGAAACTCCAAGGTGTCAGCCTCCATCTATCAAACATGTATATGTCATGCCCTACATGATCATGATCAACCACACTGAGATCTGTGAGCTTGACCTTTTTTTTAGCCCAGGCCACCAGAAGTTGCTAGTCTTCTTGATTGAGTCTAACCGTGTTCATGAACTACGCTTTTCAGTGACTTATCTCTTAACAAATCTAAGACTGTTGTGAATTGGGACTCGCATTTTGATGGCATTTTAAAATCTGCTCTCTTTACAAATATTCATGTGCAGGTAAATGACCATTTGTACTTATATTTTTTTGTCACACCTACAGACATAATGGGTTATTTTGGAACCTGTTGGGGGAATTACAAATGTAGAAACTTTTCCCCTCAATGTGTCTACAAATTCTGAAAAAATAAAAGAAACATTTTTTATTCTAAAAAAACCTGACACGTTTTCATTTAATTTTAAATATCCTGGAATACGCCCTATATGCTAAACTGTTGATTTATACAATATGCTAGCTATGTAACCCTGCTTTTTTTCCTTAAAGCATGGTTCTGTGGTTAACAGGTTAATTGTTTTAAAAGTCCACTAATCCTTCAAAGCAGCTCTGACACTCTACAAGGGGTAGAAACAAAGCAACTGCTATGAATTGTGCATTTAGTCCTGTTTTACCGGTCACAAGACAGTTCACTAAAAGTGTGAAGCTCTCTCTACATGGAAAATAAGTGTGAGAATGCAGCTGACCTTGACCTTTTACCACACACAGCTATTATAACACCCATGGTAATACATTTTAAAAGGATGGATGCTGCCCTATACATAATAAATTAAGATGGTTAGTTTCCATGCAGAATGTGGCACTAAAGTTACGCATTTAAAAAAAGACACATACACAGTATTTATCATTAAAACATATAAATGTGTGTGTGTGTGTGTGTGCGCACGCACGCACACACACACACACAAAAACCTGTAATACTGAGAGAGAGTTCTTATGGATTACATAAAATCGCAGACATAGCACGTGAGAAGCAGTGAATGAGCTCACTGAATAATACATAACAACCTGATAAATACATCTATCAACATCAGGGCTGCCCAATAGGTAGATGCCCAAATGTGGTAGAACTATAACTCCCATGATGCTTTGCATGCCTTTAGAATACCAGAGCATCATTGGAGTTGTAGTTCTATCACATCTGGGAATCTACCTATTGGGCAGCCCTGATCTACATAGACCTTGGAAATCATTAATGTCTCACAGTCTAGATATATTTCTACACGTCCTTCAGGTTTGTAAAATGTCTGACACGTCTCCTCAGCTGTCATAACAGCACTGCCATTCCCACAGGTGCCAAAACAGTGGCTGAACAGGTCATGGAACCCTTCAGACCTCAGAGGGTTAAACAGAAATAACAATGTTTCCTTACCCTGATAAGATTCCTTTTCGGTGCACTTCTGTGGAGTTGGGAATTAAACATTAACCGGAGATAACAATAACAACATGCCTGTCAGGGTTATGGAATGTCAAAACAGAAGTGAAACTCACCTCTTGTGTTATTTTTCACAGGGCTGTTTTGTGTATGTGTGTGTGTGTGTGTATGTTTGTTTTTATTAAACCCACCTTTTTTTACAATTCCTTCAGCCTCCTCCTTGTAACAAGAATCCCTGGCTCTTGGGTGGAGCTTCCTTCTTCACAAGTCAGTTATCTTGTTGATTGCCTCTTCCAAATATCATCATCTTCCTGGTGATGTGCTCTGCGCTGCTCAACAAGACAGAGTAACAGTGTTTCTATGCAAAGTCCATCGGCTTTAAACGATTTTCTAGTCCTACTGAGAGGAGAAGGAGGTGGGGAGAGGATTGACATTAACACTTCCTAGTATCAACTGGTCATAAAAAAATGTAACTGTAATGGTGGGTTAGAAATTGTAGCCACAAGTGGCTAGGCATAGGCAAATAATCCCTAGATATGGCTCATCAAGGCTAATGTGGTTGCAGGGTCACAATTGTTATTTTATCTATTTTTGGTTTAACATAATTTTTCCCCCTCTATTGCAAGTATTTATTTTAAAACTTAGTATGCAACAAAAATATAGATAAAACGGATTAACTAAATCCATAGGTATTTTATCTTTGTAAACCTAGGTAAAGATGAATAAAGAGCATCAAAGTGATTGCTAAAGAAGATTTAAATAAATACTACGGTTACATACATATGGTGTTCAAATAATAAATATTACTATCTGCTAGTCAGGAGAAAGGTTGTATTTTTCATGAGCATGGCTTAACACTCAGGACTACGAAATCTTGATTTTATGTAGTTACTCACTGCACTTTACCCACTCTGTTATTTTATATATTGCAACAAATAGGGTTATTTACAAAAGTGAATATTGTTAGAAATCCTAAGTGAATTTAAATGTTTGGCCAAAATACCCAATCTGAGAGAATAGCTGGTTTGGAGAATTTTTCCAGTTTGGTTTATTTTGGCCTTAAATTTGTAATTCACTTTGAATTAATTTTGCAAATAAAACAAATCATTGTAACGGGAGGGAGGAATGAGAGAGAGGAGATCAGTCTGGAAGCAAAGGTATATGCTGAGAATGTGTGTTGCCAATGAACAGTGTGGCGACGACAGATGTATTTTTGCACAGAGATGACATTAGGCAGCCTGGAGCTCTTAATGCCGGGGGTGCAACTAGCCCTGGCACAAAATTGCAAATTTCTCTGGATTTGAAGCACATAGAGATTCCTACGAATATGATCATTACTAAAAGCAGTGACTCTGGTAATGGTGGTTGAAATAACATTTTTACATAGTTACATAGCTTAAAACTAGAAACAAAATCCTTCTTGACCTAAGTATGGCAATCAGATCTCTCCTTGGATCAAGAAGCTATTACCCCACAAATTATAAAATTATATACCTGAATATTATGTTTTTGAAAGTACATGGTTGATATTTAGACATCTGTACAGACTCTGATAAAATCCCCTCTTTCAGGTAGAGAATTCCACATCCTTATTCTTCTTACTGTAAAAACCCTCTCCTTTACCTTTGCCTATGTCACCTAATTTTAAATGGGTGGCCTTTTAAATTAGGTGACAATCTACTAAGGTCAAACTAGACCGGAAACAAGTGATTTAACATCTAAATCTCATTTCATCTTATGAAGGAGACCATTATGTAAAGTGAGGCCAGTACGTGAGGCAAACAAGTCACTTAGGGTGGCATTTCTTGCCGACCCCAGAAAGTGCCACCCTAGGCAAATGTCTTGTTTGCCGCGCGGCAAATACAGCCCTAGTGTCATGTCTAGATTTTGCCTCTCAATGACCCCAGATTTTCCAGAGAGTTGTCACAATTTTTACTAGATTACATTCAGAGGTCACTGAATTACCATGTTAGTGATAATGACTGGGAATCCACTTTTTAATGTACAGTTTTAAAAAAATTGGGAATTCTACCCCTTTCAGACAACAAACGGCACCACACATGGGTGCCCTCTGTCACCACTCCTCTACATTTTGGCCCTAGAACCACTAATGTAAGCTATCAGATGTAACACCAACATACCCGGCATACAGATAGGAGACAAGGAATATAAATTAAATCTATTTGCAGACGACGTCCTATTAACCTTATCACAACTAATAATATCCCTGCCAAACCTGCAGAAAGAACTACAACGCTATAGCACCTAATCGTATTATAAGTCCGATATCTCAAAAACCCAAGCTATTGGAACAGGCATAGATGATTCCACCCTGGAGAGACTCAAACAAACGTTTAACTTTGACTGGCGTCAGGACTAACTCATGTTTCTACGAATAAAACTGACAAAATCCCCACACACACCATTTAAAACGAACTACCACAAACTTAAAACAGACATAGAGGACATTTCCCTTCCATAAAAAAACAGGAAGGGAAATATATATCGTGGGTGGGCAGATGTGTGGCTATCAAAATGGTTATATTATCAAAAATTCTCTACCTCTTTCGCACTTTACCAATCCAGGTACCTATGAAATTTCTCAACGTCCTACAAACCACACTAGTCAAGTTTGGGTGGAATAACAAGAACCTTAGAGTCCCATGGAGATTCCTTACCCTTAAGGTGAAAGAAGGGGGTTAAGAAATTTCTTTTTTTAATTTCTGAATGGCTGCTTCTTTTTATAAATGTGAGATATGACGGTCAAGCTATGCTCAGGCTGAGGCTAGTAATCATCTTAGGTCTAATATGTCTTCCGAGTGGCAATGCTGGGAGATCTAGATAAGTAGGCTGACATAATGTGAGTTGGCAATATGCTTGATGTGACGAGACCAATCTCGCCACTGTGCATTGGAGGAGCCTGGTTGCCCGCCTGTTGCCTTTAGACTATGGCCCCATGTTGAAACGCTTGATTTTCCCCTGCGAAGACACGAAAGCTGGGTCATTCGGTGCTGGCCCTGTTTGAGCGATGATACCCCAGATAGCTATGCCATGGAGCCAATTCGTATAATGAAAGACTATGGGAAAGACTTTGGCTCCATGGCAATTGAACTGTATGTGTGTGCTCTGAGCGCCATTCAGTAATAATGTGCGCTCAGATCTGAGCTATCTGGGGATATGTTGAATGTACCTGTTTTGTGCAATGGCTGCACAGTTATGTATTTTTATGTGTTTTATTGTCTTTTGCTGCCATGTGTTCAATGGAGTTTTGCCTCTGTCCTTGGAGATAATTGGATTACTTCCCAATTATCTCCAGGATAGAAGACTCTGTGGAACTGGTTTTGGGCAGAAAAGCCATGCTTCATTTGGTCACAAAGGACTTTGATCTATCTTTTGAACCAATGGACCAATTTGGATGATCTTGACATATGTTTGTATTTGGAGTATGCTGATTCTGAAAATGTTATGTTATTTTATGTGAATATGATGCATACTTTTCAAGTTATGAATAATGTGGAAAAACTGTATTTCTCTGCCGGTGATAATTACATTACCCATTGTGTAAGGTAATTGTATCACAGGCAGAGGGGAGGATTTTGTGTGGGAGTGTCTGAGTGTATTGTATGTGTTTATTGGTTGTTTTCCAAAACCCTGTGAGTGGTACTAATGTGTATATAAGAACAATAAACCCACAGCTCTGACTGTTCACTACTTGACCCTCAAAACAAAGCCTTGTCTCGTTCTTGAGGGGATTTATTGTATGCTGTTCCAGTTTGACTGCTAGGAGTGTAAACCTATTCGTATGGTTTTTCCTATTCGGCTGTTTACGGCATTCATATGGTTTCCTGTTTGGCGGATTGGTGTTCTGCAGTAGCTGTGCCTGTGTCTCTGGAAGGGAAGATCTACTAAACGGCTGTTTAACCCTTTTATACCCGGGGTGCCGTTACACTTGACTATGTGAGTTAAACATGCTAAACATAACAGATAATGATAAACAGGCTTTAACAAAATATTTAGGGTCTATGATTGCGGGGAGCCAGGGTGATGCATTTCAGAGTGATAAAGTGGCATGCAGCTATAGTTGCCTAATCTTCGACTTGCGTCTCTCCCCCTACTAGCTAGCTTTCACCTAATACCTATGCTTACTATTTGAGTCAAGTGTAGTCCAAGATAGGCCACTCCGCCGCCCCAGGCCGCCTCAAGAGCCTCTGCGCGGATCCCACTGCTCCGGTTTTTCACGCCACCATGAGCAATGTCTTAGTAAGGTGCAGTTGCCGCTTGAGATTGTGGTTGCTCCTGTCGAGGATGTGGGTCAGGCATCAGGGTTGACCCCCTTTGGGATCTCAGCCCAGGAAGGCAGTAGCAAGCGTTGGGCGACTCAGGACAGGATGCGGCTTTCAGGCGAGCCTTCTTTTTCACTGGCTGCTCGAGTCTGGGAGCTGGACAGAGTCGTCGAGGCTTGCCAGCCTCATGGTACAGATGGCCAGGAGGCATGTTCCGCTGCTTGTCATTCTTCTGCAACTTTCACTTGGTCTGCTCTCCTTTATTCTGGAACCTCCGCCAGAAGTCGCTGAAGTTGTCAGCAGGCCCTGTGCCATCGTGTTCAGCGCCACTGTCGCCATCTTGGCTCTGGCTGTGCTGCAGTGCATTGTGTCAGGATCTGGTGAGTTCCCTGGCTCCATTCTCTGCCGTGAAGTAGAGCCTGTATGATGATTGTGCCGGGATATCCCTCACCGGTGTCCGTTTGCTTCTCCGAGCATGGAGATCCACCATCTCGGGGTAACACCAGTGCTCTCCTAGTATCAGCGCTATGGAATTTGTTGGCGCTATATAAATAATAAAATAATAATAATAATAACGATAGGAATATTGTTATGGTATGGTATAAAATAGTCGCTTTATAGTGGGTTCATGCACAGAGCTCTTGCTTAGTGCGACCAGTCTGATCGGTGGCTAGGTCCCACCCCCAAGAAATGTAATTTCTTAACCCCCTTAATATCCTCTTAGGTTGGGCTTCCCCAACCTGTGAGAATATTATAGGGTGACACATAAATGACACTCCAGGACATACACTTCACAATGGGTAAAACTGGAATCGCAGAAGCTAGGGAACACACACCTGGCAAACTATATATGGATACCGAAAGGGCATAGACCCTCAATAAAATTATTATTACCCTCAACCAAACTATTACTGTCAATATGGGATACAAACAGACATAAAGTATGCTCCAATGATTAATGGTCACCAGCAGCCCCATTAAAAGTGATACACGCACTTAACCCTACATTTTACTTCAAAACAGGGGCTAAACATACAGTGACAGACAAGAGGACCACTAGCAGCTTCCAGAACCTACAATCTATATTCCACCTGCCAGCATTAGCCCAATTTTCAT